AGGCAAAGAGCTTGCATTTAAAAAGTTATGAAAAGACTGGAGTGGTGAACATACAATACAGTGTACAGATGATGCATTACAGAATTGTGCACCTGAAACCTGTATAATTTTGTTAGCCAGTGTCACTCCAATAAATTTTTTTAAATCCTCACCCCAGGATACGTTTTTATTGATTTTAGAGAGAGAGGAAGAGAGAAACATCGATGTGAGAAACATCAATTGGCTGCCTTCCACACATGCCCCAACTGGGGACTGAACCCACACCCTTTGGTACATGGGAAAACACTCTAATCAACTGAGCCACAGTGGCCAGGGCACCCCAATAAATTTAATAAAATGAAAAAAAGTAAAAAGTTAAGAGAAGAGGCTTATTTTCCAAAAGCCTTTTACCTTTTTAAAAACACACGCACAACTCTGAAGTGGACATTGGATCCTTGATATCTAAAAAAATCATTTCTATTGACAAATATGAATCTTGAAGGGAGAAGGGAACCAGAAAAAAGCAGCTTTCAAAATTCAGGGAACATTCCATTTTTGGTGAGCATGGTAACATGGTGTGGCCATTTTGAAAAATCATTTTGTAAGGGTCCTTTTTAAAACATAAATTACTGTTTGACCCCAAGAGAAATAAAAAGATATGTCCACACAAAAGACTTGCACACAAGTGTTCATAATGTTAGAAAGGACATGGGTTTCAAGGTCTGGGTAGTTCTTACTAAATGCTAATCTTGCTAAATGTTAAATGCAGCGCAGTATTTTGCAGATGCAGCTGAGAACATGATGAGCTTAACAGGAACTCAACGGGGTAAGTGTGGCCAACTGCAAAGAAGAAATTAGTGTGTAACTGACCAAATAGTGTATATAAGCAATGACTAGGCCCTCCTGGGAGACAGAGCTTTGAATGTGAGTCCCGTCTCCTTTACTTGCTGCAAGTAAATAAAACTACTTAACAATGACCACATCTTGATCTTGAACAGAACACCCAAGCAGAGAACATCAAGTTCTGTGACAATAACATGTTTTATAATTGCCAAAGGGGGAAAACCCAAGAGCCCATCAACTAGGGAATGGATAAACAAAATCTAGTTATCCATACAATGAAATACTACTTGGCAATACAAAGAAATGAAGTTCTGATACATGCTACATGGATGAAACTTGAAAACTTGTTCAGAGAAGGAAACCAGTCACAAAGGACCATGTGTTGTATGATTCCATTTATATGAAACATCCAGAATAGGCAGAGTCATAGGAACAGTAAGTTAGTGTTTGCATGGGCTGGGGGTGGGAGCCCAATTAAACAGGCATGAGGCATTTTTTTTTTTTTTTAATTAAACCATTCAGACTGTTCTCTCCCCTCCTACTCTCTCAAAAGAGAGAGAACAGTCATTGAAGGCAAATGGCAGCTACTGAAACAACATCAAGAACTGCCACACCCCAGAGAGAGCGCCTCCTTCTCATGGTTTTGGGGGCTCTACACATGCAGAGAAAGTCCTCTAGTAACGAACTATAGAAATGATCCCTGAAAGTATAGTCTTAGGCACAAGGTATCTTATTGGCTTGATGGAAATGTTCTAAAACTGGTTCATACTGATAGTTGCACAACTCAGTGAATTTACTAAAAATCACTTGACTTGTACACCTAAATGAATGAGTTTAATGGTATTTAAATTATGCTTCACTAAAGCTGTTATTAAAGGAGTTTCTATTGTGTGTTCATTTGGATAAATCTATCTACAGCCTCCATTGTGGTAGGATATATTCATAATAGTTTTGAAGTCATCCTTGCAATTTTGGTGTTCTTCTATTTGGTTTTCTTTTATTACTATTTGTCTGTTATATATTTCTTCATCCTTCTCATTTTAATCTTCTATGTACTTAAGCTTTATTTTAAATTTTTCTAAATATGTTTTTATTGATTTCAGAGAGTGGAAGGGAAAGGGAGAGACAGAAATATCAATGATGAGTCATGGATCGGCTGCCTCCCACACGCCCCCCGCTGGAGATTGAGCCTGCAACCTGGGCATGTGCCCCGACTGACCAGGAATTGAACCACCATCTCCTGGGTCATAGGTCGATGCTCAACTGCTGAGCCATGCCAGCTGGGCTGTACTTAAGTTTTAGATGTGTCTCTTGTAAATAGGATGTAGCTGGATCCAAAAAAATTCCAATCTGAAAATGTATTTTAATTTGTAAACCATTCCAATTTTTTATTGTGATTCCTAATATATTGGATTAATGTCTACTACCTTAATAGTTATGATTTCCATTCTGCATTTTTCTTTTCAAAAAATTAAAAAATATATATATATCTTTATTGATTTCAGAAAGAGGAAAGGAGAGGGAGAGAGATAGAAACATCAATGATGAGAGAGTCATTGATCAAGCCTGCAACCAGGGCATGTGCCCTGACCAGGAATCGAACCCTGATCGCCTGGATCCTAGATCGACGCTCAACCACTGAGCCACACCTGGCTGGGTTGCATTTTTCTTTAAAAAGTTGGAAATAGATGAAACTGTATATATACAGTTAAAAAACAATAAACTTGTACCCATCAACTAAGCTAAGAGACTGAAGATTGCTCTACCTGAGAAGTCCCATGTGTGTACCTTCATGATTATTCTCAAGAAAGAACTATTGTGATTTTTTAAATGTATCAATGTTGTTGTCCCTGCATAAGCACATGCTATCCAGGGTTGGGGGAAGGTGAACACAAGGGAGCTTCTTTACAGTTTTGTATCCCAGTTGTGGGAATGGTTACTTGAACGTACAGGAGCGATAAAATGTCACAGAACTTTATTATTCATGTATTACCCACAGAACTATGTTATTTCCTCCCTCCCCCAGCCCCAGAAAAAAAAAGCAACAACTAGATAAGGACTGTACTTGAGTTAATACTAGTGCAGCAATGTCAGTGTCCTGGTTTTGAGAATGCACTATGATTATGTAAGATACCTTCACTGGGGGAAGCTGGGGGAAGAATAGATGGAAAATCTGTATTATTTTTTGCAATTTCTTGTGAATCTTAAACTATTTCAAAATAAAAAGTTACTAAAAAATCAGGAAGGAAAAAATATAACATCCTATTACGTATACACACTTTAACAGCTGATAGCTCAATTTTGAAAATGAAATGTATTTTAACAAACACTACCTTTATAATTATTCAAAGTGTGTGTATACCTTTTTTTGGGACACCCTATATTCCTACATGCCATACTTTTGTTCACATATTTTAAAGATTTATTTATGTGTCCCATGTAGCTGTAGTTTAACTGCTGACTGGGATATTTTGTATGAGTATATCACAATGTACCCAGTCTCTAGTGGAAGAACCTCTTTGGGTTGTTTGCACATTTTTTCCATCATGAATAATGCTGCCATACACATTCTTGAACATCTCTCATTGCACATATGTATGAGTTACTTTAAAGATGAACTTGCCCCCTGGCAGGTGTGACTCAGTTGGTTGAAGTGTTGCCCAGACACAAAAAGGTCCAGGGTTCATTTCCTGTCCAGGGCACATAGGTTGTGGGTTCAGTCTTGGTCGGGGTGCACACGAGAGGCAACCAATCAATATTTCTCTCTCACATCGATGTTTCTGTCTCTCTGCCTTTCTCTCTCTAAAATCAGTAAAAAACAATATCCTTGGGTGATAATTAAAAAAAATAAAATAAAAATGAACTCGCTGGGTGTAGAATACGTATGTACAAATTTGTTTTGTATTTTATGTTTTTGTATTTTATATTTTATAGTTAAGCAATGTTATTTTATTGTTTTAATTTGCATTTTTTTCTAATTACTAATGAGAATGAGCATCTTTTTATATTTATTGGTCATTTTGAGTTTCTCTGTAAATCAATGGAAAAAATATCCTCACCCCTTGGGTGAAGAGAAAAAAAAAAAAGACCACTTGTAAATTCTGCCGCAGCATCAAAGAAGACCGCACACAATTATCCGAAGAGGCTGTAAAAATATGCCATCCTTTTCCATCTGTGTATCTGTGTGAAGCTGAATTTATTCACAAACTTCAATCAAAACAACAATATATCACATCTCTTGGCTACTGTGAATAATGCTGAAGTGAACATAGGGGTACACATATCTTTATGAATGTTTTCAAATTTTTCATTGGTTGATTCTTGTATGTGCCCTGAGTGGGATCAAACCTGAAACCTTGGTGTATTGGGATGATGTTCTAACCAAATGAGCTACCGGGCCAGGGCCTCAGTTGGATGTATTAAAAATAACAGAAGAAACAGAATTTCACATGTTGATAAAACTAGACCTGACAAATTAAAAAGACATAATTTCTCAGGAACAATCAGGGAAACATATAATTAAAATAATGCTGAGACACAAGTTTCCTCCCATCAGAATGGCAAGTTATTTTAAGCTAAAATTTGTATAATCCTCTACTTCAACCCCAGCCCAAGGCAACTACTAATCTACCTTTTGTCTCTGTGGATTTGTCTAGTCCCACATTTCATATAAGTGGAATCTTACAATATGTGATCTTTGCATCCGGCTTCTTTCAGTGTTATACCATGTATTGGTACTTAATCTCTTTTTACAACTTAGTAATATTACATTGTATGGATATATCAACATTAAACCATCAGCTGATGTACACTGGGTTGTTTCCATTTTGGGGGCTATTACAAATAACACGAGATACCTTTTAAGCAGTGATCAGAAGAAAATTCACGTTACTAAACACATCAGCGCAATGAGAGAACAAAAAATGAATTCTGAGCTCAAAAAAACTCCTCACAAAAACCATGAAATACAGTATCCATGCAAACCAAGATATAAAAAGTTATATAAGACGCTACACTACAAAAAAACCATCAAACCCAGGTAGGTTGATTTTGGTTTGGGGGGTTGGGTTTTGGGGTGTGTGTTGGTTCTGGTAACGGTCTCCTTGAGATAGAATTCAAATGCCATACAATGCTCCCACTTAAAATGCACATTCAGGCTTATCTTTGTAAATACTTACACGTCGTTGCATAACGTCGAAGAAACAGGGAAAAGCCTGCGGGAAAGCGTCTAATGAGCCTTAGATCTGACTCTGCCCGGAACCCGACTCCTGCGGCCAGGCCTCGACTTAAGCCAATCCCTCCGCGTCTGTCCGCTTCTAACTCGGTCCTCTGCGCTCCGCTCGGCCTTCGGCTGGGCACTGCCCTCCAGGACTGGTCCATGGGAGAGCCCGCTGTCGAATCAGGGCTACGGCTTCCCCTCCATCTACTAGCCACGGCCACCCCGGTAGGCGTCCACCTCGGCCTAACGGCTTACTGAGGCTCCGCCCCTTACGCTCTTCGCCCTGCGGCACCGGAAGTGGAAGTGCTCTCCGTGTACGTCCTACTTCGCGTTCCTCCTCGTATTTGAGATGGGTTTTCTCCTCTGTAGGCAATAGGGCTCGGTTCTCAGGCCCAGCCGCTCGGGCTGACCGGAGTCGCGGAGCCTGCTCGCCGCCTGTGCGCCGTGCTCGAGGCTTCCGTGGCCGCCGCGGCTCGTCAGGGCTCCGCCCGTGCGGGTCCGGCTGGTGGCTCGGAGTCTCGGTGGAGGCAGGGCCTTTCCTCCAGCCGCCGCGCACCTCTCCTCAGAATCTGCCAAAGCAACCTCCTCGCCTTTCTCCAGAGGGAAAAACATTTACGCTGTTCTGGGAAATGGCCCCAGCGTCCTCTTCTGCTGACCGACCTGGTGCGTTCCGATGAGCGCTGGCCGGAAATGCCTCGGCTGTGGGCATGTTAGTGAAGTTTGGTGAATGATTTAAGTGTTACCTGGCCCGGAGTGAATTCCGGTCATGTCAGGAAAACAACCACAGGAGAGCAGGCGCTTCACACACTAACCTGTGTCTACTCCTGGCTCATGCTTTCTAACTGGTGATTTTGGGTCAATTACTAATTATGGTGAACCTTAGTTTTCTCATTTATGAAATGATAGTATTAATACCCAATTTGGAGGGTTGTTTGGATAACTGAAGGAGTTTATATATGTAGAATTACTTAACAGGTGCTCAGTAAATAGCAATTGTTAATATTTGCATAGTGTATTAGTTTTTAATGGCTGTCACATGTTTCATCTGCAGAGATGGCTAAAGAGTGATGGTTGACAATTGAAAAATATTGCTTGATAATCAAATGTTGTGAACCAGTTACCAAGACACTCTAGTATGTGAAGATAAATTGAAATCAACCTCTCACTTTAAATTCAAAAGCTTCTCTGATGTGATCTGCTGAGCAAGAAGTGAAATGTTTTGGGAAATCTCACTATCAGGTTCACAGTATGCCAGTTATCGATCTGACTTGTGAGTGGTGAGTCCTTTTTGATGCTTCGCAAATCGTATATATATTCTTCACAAATGGCACGTCTAGTGCTCAAGGGATGAGTGATCATGCAGTGGGCCATATAAGTGGGATTGAAATGGCCAGAGTGAGTATAAGTCAGGCTCCTGGAATTTGAGATGCAAGAAAGTGTGTGTGCTTTTTTGGGGGAAAATGTTTATGAATCTTATCATGTCTGTCAAACAGCTCTGCACCTCTGTATTTTTAATTTGTGTACTCTAAGATGGAATTTTTAACTGGTTCCTCATGGGTAGCAAAATACTGAAAACCATTTTCTTATGCCAGGTAACTCAAGGCTTTGTCGTATTATGGAAGTAGTGTGTGGTGTGTTATGTGTATGGAATGGAACAGCTTATAGGCATGTGATTGTTGGAATTGAATTGGCTTCGAAGTCCATGTCATTCTTTTCTCTCAGATCATCTTTCTTGGAATCCTTACTGTCTTTTTGAAAGGAAAATTGAGGCAAGGATGGTGGCTGGGTTACTGATGGATTCTTCTCAGGTGAGTAGAAAGTTGACTTTTTTTCAGAATATCATGTTTGTTTCTGTTAGGCAGACATGACCCCAAGCTTCTTAAAGCAATTATGACTATGCTGAAGGAATGATTCCTGGTGAATTTCTCCAGGACCCATGCTCTCTCAGGTTATACAAGATAACACTGGAAATGATTCTTTTTTTTTTAAATTAAAATTTTTTTAATTGATTTTTTTTTTTTTTTTAGAGAGACAGGTGAGCGGGGAGAGAGAGAGACATTGATGTGAGAGCGAAACATCAAAGCAGCAACCTTTTGGTGCATGGGATGATGCCCAACCAACTGGGCCACACTGGCCAGGGCTGGAAATGATTCTTTAATCTCAAAGAATTCACTCATTCTTTCTGATCCTCAGTGATGCTTATTGTTTTACCCATTATTATAACAGATCTTATGAAAGAAAATGAAAGTACTTAATTTTTTAAAATTTGGTGTCACCGTGGCAATAATTCTTTTGTTTTTAGCTTTTACAAAGTGCTACATTGTGTTCAGTGCTAACCATGGCCTGTCAACAGAGGAGGATAAGACAAGAAGAGCCCATGGTAATGCTGTGGTAAGATAAGTTCAGTTCCATGCCAGTGATCCCGATAAAATCCACCTGACTGAGTGTAATCACCAGGCTGTATCTAAAGCTAGAGAGAAGAGGTCTAGGCCCAGGAATACTGTAGACTTCTGGTCTACCTTCCTCACTGCCTTTTATGCATCTTCCTGAGAACATCAGTGAAGGTGGTACTTAGCTGCAGCCAGCATGTGTTTGATGGTTTAGCACTTAGTGACCTTTGAGGATGTGGCTGTGGACTTCTCCCAGAAGGAGTGGACTTTGTTGGACCAAACGCAGAGAGATCTCTACAGAGACGTGATGTTGGAGAATTATAAGAATCTCATTACTCTAGGTAAGGCTGGCATCATTTCTTTACTGAGTCCTTTATGAAGTGAAAGTTGCTTCAGTAGCTTTGCTGTCAAATGAATAAGACAGAAATAGTCTTTGGCTTCATGGGCCTTTACTGTCTAGAGGATTCTCCATGAAAATAAAAATCTGTGCAAATAAAATACTTTATTTCCTTTAGGGACTAAAAACCTAAGGGCTTTAAATATGGATGAGGTTGGACATGGTTTTCAGGTCTTAGAGATCTCCAGGCATTTGAGGGTACAGAGAGAGAATGTGCTTGGATTTCGGTTCCTTTAAAAATAAGTTTCATTGGATTTATTCAAAATTCTGTTTGATTATTTGCTGTTTGTAAAGTGAGACCTTACCATCTTGAGAAACCCTGAAGGCTAAGGGTTGGTTCTTGAATCAAGGACACGTTTTTTATGTCTTACAAGACCTTCCTTAGGTATTTTTCCCTTATATAGGGTATGAATCAGACAAACCCAGCGTCAACTGTGGTTTGGAAGGAGCAGAAATGCTGAGCTTAGGAACTGGAGTTCTGCAGGGTAAATTCACAAGCAGATACAGTTTTGTGAAGAGCAGTGCGAGTCTGGGAAAGGTGCAGTACCTTTGCAAATGTTACTTTGCAAGCTTTTAAAAGCATACTCTTTTTCTCAGAAGGCTGAGGCCATTTGATTTCTGAGTTTCCTCAGTAACCTTCAACCTCCCTGTACCCTTAATTGCCATTGATCTCAATCTTTTTTTATTCTCTCAGAAAGATCTGTTTGGCTTACTTGAAAATTTCATTAATTGAGGATAGCTTTTTCCCCAATACCTTCCTATCTTGTCTTCCTGATTCTCCCATCTTATTCATTTACTGTCAGCCTTAGTTTTGTCTTAAATTTTGTAAGTTACCTACAATTTTGACAACATACCTTTTTCATTGCCAAACTCCTAACACAGCCAAACTCTTTATGGTCCATCTTTCTTTTTGTTTCACCATTTTTGTTATGTTTCATTCATATTTAAATGTACACATGTGCCACATGCTTTATTTTGAGCATATACACATAAGTTAACCATTTTAGTGAGTATAGTTTATTGATATTGAGTACATTCACAGTATTAGGCAACCATTAGCTCTTTTTAGTTTCAAAATATTTTTATCATTTCTTTCCAAATGAGTAGATTTTTAAGATCAGCTGGAGGTGGAAGCTTTCATTCTCTTCAGCCTTTCTGAGCAGGCATGCTTATGGACTTCTTGATTCCGTTGTAAACGCTCAAGTTTTTAAAAGCCTTATTCACCCACATATAATATCCCCAACTCATTTCTTCTCAGACTTGTCTCAGCCATTTTCCATTTCCTCATGCTGTTGTGGCCAGTACTTCACCTCTATACACTTTTAGCAGAAGCTGCCTGGAATGTTTCCCCACTCCTGGGAACACTGAGTTGGGTGAAATAAGGGGAAACCTGTGCACCGATACCTGAGGAAGCTGCCAGACAGATCAAAACACAATGGTAGTTCTTTGAGAACAAGGTCCATATTGCTTCTATTGGCATGAGCAACTTGCTCAAGGAGCGTTTCCTGCCATCTATGTGGCTGCAGCTTATCTGGAGAGTGTGGGTGGTAGGTGGGAACATTCTCTTGATGAAATACAGCTGCTTCTTTCTTAAGTGTTCCTTGACTTTTGTACCTTTTGATTAGATTCCAAATTCTGCAACTTTTGGTTCTGATAGTTTTTGTAAGCTTGTTAGTTGTTTTCTGGTGGGAGCCCTGGAGTTCCCTATGCTCCATATTTTGTGGTGTCATTTTCTGTGCCATTTGTATGTTTTTAAAAATCCTCACCTGAGGACTTGTTTATTGATTTTAGAGAGAGGAGAGTGGGGGGAAGACATCGATATGAGAGAGGAACATCAATCGGTTGCCTTACCAATGCACCCTGACCTGGGATTGAACCTGGAGCCAGTTATGTGCCCTGACCGGGAATTGAACCTGCCACCTTTTGGTGCACAGGACAACACTCCAACTAACTGAGCCACACTGACCAGGGCTGTGCATGTTTTATTTTATTTTGAGAGTATGTTTATTAAATCTGGAGTCAGTGAAACAAGGAATGGCTTAGGATAGAAGAAGCAACAGGGGAGTGCCTGGGCAGGGCTAGTTTGGCTCTCTAGAAGTGTTATAGGAAAGAAATGAGCCTAGGCAGGCTGCTTTGGCTGAGAAGTCAGAGAAAAGGGGGCCTTGGAGATAGTTTCGGGAGTTAGCCCAGGATGAGCTGCCACTGCCCATTGCTCCCCTGGTTACAAGTCTTGTGGGCACCCTTAGAGTTTAGGAGATGCATGCCTGAGAGGGAAGAAAGGTATGGGCATGCTCCTGAGAGGGAGAGCGCTGCTGTATGTTTTTAAACAACTTTATCCCACAAATTTTCTTCAAATTTGAATTTTTCTACTTTCTTTCAGAATTTGATTTACAACTCAAAACCAAAGTTTCCACACCTCTTCAAGATATTTCCATGGAAAAAACATCAAATGGAATACAATTGGTAAGATCTCCGAGAAGTAACTTTTGTCCTCCATATCAGGACCAGAAGTACAAAATCCATGCAAATTATATGAGATAAATACCATTTACCCAGAGAAAGCAGAGTGAGTCTATGAAAAGATTCTCTGAGTATCAAGAATTTGAGGAACACTCTAAACTTACTTCATATCTGTTTCTCCACAGAGGGATCTCACAAATAAACATCCACATATATGTAACTCTGTTATCCAGTTTCTGAAATATAATTTAGTCTAAATGTCAGAAAAACTCTCTAAGGTGCTCTATGAAAGTAGAGAATATATTGCAGGGTCCTGGCCTCATAGTCAGCTTATTCACCTTAAAATAAAAAACAGGGCAGGAACTTCGTACACTTAATGGAAATAGGAAAAAAATTAATTATGGTAATGTATCCAGTGCATAGAAGTTATGATGGGAGACATTCTGTTAATATAATAAATGTGAAAAAGTGTTTAATGATCATTTATATCTTAACAGGAGAGAAGCATTGCTAGAGTGAAACAATATGGCTCTATCCTCTGTGGAAAAGTATTTAGTGAACACTTGTTTCTTATGACTCACATTAGACAGAAAATTTCTAAGGGTAATCAGAGTGGAAAAGCTTTCAAAAAGAACTGTATTCAAAGCTTCAAGGAAGTCAACACTGGGGATAAAACTTACATGTGTGTTCAACATGAAAAAGCCTCTGGTCAGCTTTCAAATTTTATTTGGCACAAAAAAATTCAGACACGAGGGAAATTGTGTGAATGCAAAGATTATCAGAGAACATCTGTTAATCAGTCATCCTTTAAGGTATATTTGAGATACCACACTGGAGAAAAACCATATGAATGTAAAGAGTGTGGGAAAGCCTTCACCCATTCCTCATACCTTACAGATCATATAAAAATTCACAATGGAAAAAAGCCCTATGAATGCATGGAATGTGGGAAAGCCTTTACTCGATCCACAGGACTTATTTTACACATACAAATTCACACTGGAGAAAAACCGTATGAATGTAAGGAATGTGGAAAAGCCTTTATTCATTCCTTATACCTTACAAAGCATGGAAGAATTCACAGCGGAGAGAAGCCGTATCTATGTAAGGAGTGTGGGAAAACTTTTACCCGTTCCTCAGGACTTGTCTTACACATGCGGACACATACTGGAGAAAAACCCTATGTATGTAAGCAATGTGGGAAAGCCTTTAATAATTCTTCAATGCTTAATCAACACATAAGGACGCACACTGGAGAGAAGCCATATGAATGCAAGCAGTGTGGGAAAGCCTTCATTCAGTCATCGGGCCTTACTACACATTTAAGAACTCACACTGGAGAGAAGGCCTATGAGTGTAAAGATTGTGGGAAAGCATTTGCTCGTTCCACAAATCTTAATGTGCACATGCGGACACACACTGGAGAAAAGCCATACAAATGTAAAGAATGTGGGAAAGCCTTTAGATACACCACATGTCTTAATATTCACATGCGAACTCACACTGGAGAGAGACCATACAAATGTGAGGAATGTGGGAAAACCTTCACTCAATCTTCAGCACTCACTGAACATCTAAGAACTAAGCCTTGTGAAAAACCCTGGAAATGTTCCTCAGGACTTACTATTCACATCTAAACTCATCGGCCTAAAGACCTTATGAAAGCTCTTTTTCTTCAGTGAGGGGCTGACAGCCCCCCCAGCAGACGCAGAGAAGCATATCTTTGTGAATACTCTGATAGGCAAGACCATCACCCTCAAGGTCGAGCCCAGTGACACCACTGAGAATGTCAAAGCTAAAACCCAAGACAGGCAGGGCATCCCACGTGACCTACATCTGATTTTTGCAAACAGCTGGAGGATGGCCACACTCTGACTACAATATCCTGAAAGAGTCCACCCTGCGCTTGGTGCTTCCTTTGCAGGGAGGCATCATCAGTCCCTCCTTCTGCAAGTTTGTCCAGAAGTACAACCGCAACCAGATGGTCTGCTGCAAGTGTTATGCTCACCTGCACCCCTGTGCTGTCAACTGCCACAAGAAGTGCAGCCACACCAACAACAACAGCCCAGAGAAGGTCAAATAAGGCTCCTCTACCTCCTCCTTGGCTGGCAGGGCAGCTTCCTGCCTAAACCCCAGCCCTGGGAGCTCAATAAAGTAGTTTCCCTGTGGTTGGGAAAAAAGACCTTATGAAAGTAAAGAATATTGAAAACTTAAGTCAGTTTTTATCCTTATATGATATGTGGGAACTTACTCGGGGCAGAATTTCCATTCAGTTGGGTCTATGGGAGAGCAGTAATTGTTTACTCCTTACAGAATGTGTAAGAACTCACACTTGAGAGAAAAGCCTAGTTATATGGCATGTGAGAAAGCCTCTCTGGTTAATTTTTGTTCTCACATTAATTTTACATATCTAAAGTGGCATTCCCCTAAAAAGCAGTATCTCTGGTAAGATATTCTGAATATGATGAACTTAGGGGTATCCTAATGTCATAGATGGAAGTGAGCTGTCCACCTGTGGAAGTGGAGGATCCTTTCCCCAGTGGGTACTGGGGGTCAGGTTCTTACAATATTTTGAGAAAAAGAATTTCCCAAGAGGTGCATGGGAGAATGAATGACTTTTATTTGTGTGGAATTATATTCCTCAGTTTTAATAGTCCTGTTTTCCTTTGACCAGTTCTGGAAAATATGTAGGTGGGGGTTCAGCAAAGCTAGAAGCAAAGTCAGTGTTCAGAGTTTCCATTCCATGGTGGAGCGAAGTCCATCATAGAATCAGGCTAACCACAGTCCATTAGTCCATTGTGTGTGTGGTCCACATGGCTGTGAGCCATTCTGGCAAGTGAAGAGAGCCCCACAAGCCAGGAGTCAGGTTCCAGGAGCAAGAGAGAGAGAGAGAGGGGCCTCCTTTGTTCAGGAGCTTAAATATCAAATCTTCCCATGCTTGCAGTGGCCACAGCTATTCTGGCCAATGCCCTTTTGCAGGTATGACTTACAGGCAAGCACCTTCCCACATCACTCAGACTTTACAGGGCATGTGTCTCTTGTCCAGTTCCTTCCCCCAGGATCTGCAGGGAATGGACTTGGAGAGTTTTAAACTGCAGTTTCCTGGCAAAGCTGTACAAAGGCATGTCTATATTATCTAGCTTCCCCTTTGCTCCTTTCCTATTAATAACTGGGTTATTACAACAGTATCACTAAACCTAGCTTGAAATTTGTTTAGATTTTCCATACTCGTTCATATATATATATATATATATATAATGAGACACTTGAGTTTTTAAAATATTCCAAGAAACTATCAGAAAATTTAAGATTGGAGCTGAGGCAGAAGAATTCATCATCCAACTTAAAGCAGCAGGGTTGGAGGTGTATAAATGTAATGGAAATGGTAAAAATAATCATTGTATTGATGTTTTGATTTTGAGATGAGTAGGATTAATGAGTCTGAGATCTTTTAATTATTTATTCATTGTCACAACAGAACACACAATGGATGGGAACTCTGACTATAAGCATAGTAGAAAAGACTCCAGCAAAAATTCATGCCATAAACTCAGAGGATATCTCAAAATGGAGGGAACACTCAGGATGGTGATCAGTACGGAAAAAGTGACCTTGCTCTGCAGATAAAAACCTCTGCTGGAGAGAAACTTTCCATGTTTAATTGGCATGGAAAAGCTGTCAGCCTGACTCTAAATATTAGGTACTGGAAAACTAGCATGCAAGAGAAAGCCTTCAAATGCAGTGGCAATGGGAAAGCGTTTGTAAATAACTCTTACCTTCAGCACATACGAGTAGTCAGAATGGAGAATACCATGAATGGAAGGAATATGGGAGAGCTTTTATTAACTCCATAAACATTGGTGTCACTGTAGAAACCCACCCTGCTAAGAGGTGTTATGAAAGTAAGGAATGTGGGAAAACCATTCAATATTCATATTTGAAGTTCACATGGGGATCTACACTGGAGAAAACCCTATAAATGTAAGGACTGTGGAAAAGCCTACCTTTAATCTCATTTTAGGGAACATATAGAATCTAATACTGGATAGGCACTTTCCATGTTCAGGATATATTCTATCTATCATCACATTATATGCAAACCCTTACTTGAGAAAAATCCTATGAATGAAAACAATGTGGAAAATCCTCCTGAAGTCCCTTAGACCTTAAGGACATTCAAATCTACACTGGAGAGAAACCCTATAAATGTGAGGAATGTGGGAAAGCCTTCACTCAATGCTCAGGCCTTTGTAAAGATGTATAAATTCACAGTGGAGAGAAACCCAAGAAATAATGTGAGAAAGCTATTGGGTATTTCAATTCATTTTACATATATTAAAATCTCACCCTGTAAAGAAGAAAATGTAAAAAGTGTGGGAAAGCCTTCTGTTCTCTCAGTTCTTTTTAATTTCATGGAAAACGTGACCCATAGTCAAAAGAAAGTGAATGTAGGAAATATAGGATGTACTACCCTGGGTCTGAAGTCTAAGGGTTTGCTGAGAGGCACAGTGGTCTGGGTGGTTCTATAGATCTATTTTAAGCATTAGTGATTTGACCCTTACCATACCTGTGCACCATGTGTGTTCTTTCTGCTGATAGCCAAGGCAGGCCAGTTTAATTGCTACACCATCCAGGTTGCAACCTGACCAAAAGTGGGTCTACAGGATTGACTCTTAATCATCTTCTAATCACCTGGATTTTCTTGTTGGGTTAATATGCTTTTACACTGTAAAGATAGCGACTGCCTCACTGTCGACACTGCTCACTGAGCCTGTTTACATTGAGTCACTCTGGCCAAGGCAGTGTGGGAGAGCCTCCCTTGGTTGAGGCTATGTCTAATAGGGACGTGGATACCCCGTGGGGAAGTACTTGGTATCATTAAAAACAATGAACAGAAAGCACTCTTGTGAGGTAAAAGTTGGCTGCCTCCTTCAAGGGACACAGCAGTGGAGACTGCATGATGGCCCCATTGCTAACAAAACAGTAATGATGATGGGGGCAGGTGCTCTCCCACTAGTCTCTGGCTTTGCCTGCAGATTTCACCTTGTCCTATCCCATCCCAGAGGAGTTTGGTCCTGGCTGTCTCCCTCAGCCCCCAGTAATGTCATCCATTGAGGGTTCCATGGGAATTGTCTCTTAGTATTTTGGTGGCTGCTGCAGTCACTGCAGCTCTGGCCCTTTCTTCACTCTTAGCTGAGACCTGCCTCTCTCACAGGCCATTGCCTTCTCTCACCTTTCCTATTTCCTTGACTCCTCTGCCACTTCCTACATAAGTGGTGGCCTGTGGGTCTGGGGAGGGGAACTTTACAAAGAAAATTGCTGCCACTAAACAGTATATCTTTCCACAGAATATAACAGCAGGAAGGCATCCCTTTAGTACAAGAGCCTTGAGGTGGGGCAGGTTTTTTTTCATTAGAGGTGAGGAGAGCAGGGTCAGCTTTTGCATTTGTGTTCAATCAGGGGGAGAGGACATACTCTTCACTTTGAGCTTGTGCACCAGGTAACTTCTGACTCATTGGAATATATCTCACCACTGCCCCTCAATGCAAAAAGGAATCACTTTTATCAGTGGAATCAATTTCATCATTTTTAGTGTAATTGAAAAGTTAATGGGACTGGGCGGAATTCCATCTCTTTACTTTCAGTCTGTGTGTGTCTTTCAATTTAAAATGTCTCTTATAGGTAGCATATAGATGGGTTTAGTTTTTGACTCCCAATATTGAATGCCTTTCCTCTATTTCCCCTGGTTTTTCTTGATACTGTGGAATGGGTGCTTTTATTTGTTCTCCAAATCCTCTCAAATCCTCTAAGTATACTATAAAGAAACCCTGCCAAGGCCATGCAAATTCAGCATCTCAGGAGAAACCTAACATTAGGGAACTCAGCATTTTACGGGTGCCCAGGGGACTTCTGGTATGCAAATGGCGCTAGTTACTCTGTTGGCTACTGCCCAACCACAGGAGTTCCCCCTAAGGACTAGGTAGAATGGGAAAAGGTAGCCAAACCACTCTTGCAGACACATGGAACAAAGTGACCTGATTAATAATCAACACTGTTTGGACAGATTTGATCAAAAGGGGGAAATATGAAACTGGAGAAGAAATATATCTGTCAAAATGGGCTCCTCATGGTTAACTGAGCTCAGGGTCTAGAAGCCACTGTAGAGGCCTCCCATGCACTCTGCATTTCTGCAAAATCCACAGACTGAGCTTTCAATGCTGTACAATGCTGTAGCCTGTTGCCTTTCTGAGTCAACCACTGCAGGGAAGCCCTGGTTTTGTATTTAACCAATGGACTGAGACCTGTCCTGGCCAATCAGAACTACACCAACTTATCCTCATTTGCATCTATACCAACCAATCAGAGCATTGTGCAATTTGGAAACCTCATTGACATAAAATTGGGAATTTGGGCAGGACTTTTCTCTATAAAAGACAGCCTCCTCTTTGTTTTTATGGAGCACAATTTAAGTTGCTAAATGAATCTGTGTCTCCTGGGCTGCAGCTCCCTTGACTGAAATAAATGCTTTTATTTTTATTACAGTCTAACATTAACTTGTTTAACAATGTACAGAAATATGCACACCTTTGGCACCTAAGAAAGTATTTTATTTTTCTACTTGTATATAATAAAAAATAACAGCTAAAGGTAAAGCCAAATTTTCAGATGACAATATTCTCAAATAAGAACATTTTTATGCAACAAAAGAAGCCTCAATCAATTTCCCTCAGTGTTCACCAGAACACACCCTCCAGGTATGTGAGAACAGGGGGCCTGGGAGGTAGAGCAACATGACTCACACAGTCAAAATTATTTTCCTTCTGCAGAGAAATCAAAAAGGTTAGACTGAAGGTTTCTGAAGAAGGACCACAGTGGATGAAAATACCCCACTGACACACTCTTACTGCACTTCTTAACCCAGCTCAGTTATGGGGATTGAGGGCCTGGCTGTCACAAGTGGAGGGGGCCTGTCTAAGGAGGCCTCCCGAAGGTCAGGTCCAAACCTGTCCTTAACACCCTTCTTGTGCCCCAGGGCCCTCCCTTTACACGGGCCTCACTCAGGATGGGCTCAACCACACGAGTACCAATGTGAATCACTCCAAAAGGCTAAATCTACTAACAATCCCTAATTTCTAGACCCATGATTTCGCTAACCTGGTGATACAGCACAGCCTTCTTGTCATTGATTGAGGGTGTGTACCGCATCCTGTGAATCATGTAGCCAGACTGCCTGTGTATTCTAATGCCTGCACTAAATATGATCTTCCTCTTTGAAAGTACATGTGTCCCATATTGTCTATTAAAAAAAAAATTGAAAGCTCCCACACTCCATACTTCCTTTCGGCTATTTTACCTCTGTTCTCCCCTTCCCTCACAAACTGTATAGATAATTTATGTTTGCAACCTATATTTCCCCAATACTCACTCTTCCACCCACATTAGCTGAGCGATTTCTGTTCTTACCCCTTGATGTAGAGGTAGTAAGTGGGGCTCCTCCCAGTAACAACAAAGGCTTCCACGTCACCAGCAAATGTCAAGGGATGTTTTTCTGTTCCATTTTGTTTGGTCCTTTCAACAGAACCCAAACTATTAGCCACTCTGCTTTTCTTGAGAAAGGATCTCTTTGCATGATACTGTGAACACCAATTGATTATTAAAATCTCAGATTCTTCAGGGCAAGAACTTCATAGAAAGTTGGTTCCTGAGAAAATGAAACGTTCTTTAGGGGACACCTTGTCCCTTTTAAGTTTAACCAAAGAAAGAAAAATCCCTCCTTGGAGAAAATACCTCCTTCCCCCACTGTTGCCTAAGCAGACACACCACCTGCTGAAAGTTTTCCATTCTGTTATCTTTGTGCCCCAGTGGAGCTGTATTGTTTGGAGAAAGTAAAGTCAATAGAACAATTTATTTAATAAGGAGCTCTGAGAATTCAAACGTTGAGGTGATAACAACCTGCCCCTGTGGCCCACTTCCTATAATTCTTTGCTCCCAGCCTATGTGAAAACCCAAATGGACTTCTGTGGGTCAGACCTCAGAGAACAGAGAGCTTCAGTGATAACCACTGGAGAGGGCCAGTGAGACCTAGCGGGGCTGGGAGAGTGAGAAAGAGGAGAGGGAGTGAGCACCGGGCTTTACCTCTAGAGCAGTGGGACTGGGAAAGTCTATGAAGGTGAAGTCCCTGTGGCCTTAAGGTACTTCAGCTGCTATTGAAACCGGTCTTTCCCAGCTCTTACTCTGTTTCCTTCTGTCTCTTTTTGGAATCTAGAGCCTCTCTCCAATAGGAGCTATTTCCCAGGGACTCTCCAGCTCTTCTCAACTCTTTCCCATAACTGTAGGCTCTTCTTGGGTTTTGTGTCCATTATTTCCTTATTAACCACTCATGGAGATCTGCTTTGCACGAGGTGCTGTTGGTTTTGTTCCTCACGGGGTTGGAGTTTTCCATTACAGTCCCTGACCATTTCTGCAGCAGAGTGGACTCACTCAGAGCGCTTAATACTTTTATTCTTTACTGTCCACAATATTATCTACAATGCACTTGTTTTTGACGTTCAGGACTCAGACTAATTTCTTTTCCTTGTCTTACTAATCTCTTTGACTACTCAGGAGACCACTGACATTGGAATGATTGATGGTGGAGACCACTGATTCAGGAGTGATTGATGCTGGGGCAGGCTGCCTTGGCCTGTTCAGGAATTTAACTCAAATATTTTAGTGTTTTACTGTAGGACATACAGTTGGCTGCAGTTTAAAATGACTGTTCTTTACTGGGTTAAGAAATTGTCCTGTTTCCTCACTTAGTGAGAGGCTCTGTCCTGGCTGCTAAACACAGCAATGGCTGTTACCTTTTCTCAGTTATGTTTTATATTTTGATTAGGGTTATGGATCTTCTTTACTGACCTATGTTTTTTGGGTGAGATTTGTTAGCAAACATTTTGGTACTAAACCAGCTTTTCATACTTAGAGTGAGTGGGTAGTGCTTGTTCACGATATATTCTTTTAAAATAGGTAAGAAGGCATTTTATTAAGCTTTTCCATTTCGTGTCTCTATGCAGGCATATGATGCCCTTGAAGATTCCTTTCTTTTGTGTTATAGTTGATGCTTTCAGTCCCAATCTCTATTATACATGTAACATTTGCATGTGTTGAGCACCTACTATGTACCAGGCACTATGCAAGTCCCTGGAAGGCAGTGGTGAGCAAAACAGTCCTGACATCTGATCCACAAGTAAACATAAAATTGCCAGCATGAGAGGCACTCGAAGGGATACTGGGGGATGCTTGATAGATGGGCTCACACTCTGTGCTCTTGACCCTCACCCTCTGTTCTCCATCTCAATGGTCTTTCAAATCCTTCCTTCCCAACCTCACTGACCCACAGGGCAAACATGGATTCTGTTCTCTCAGCCCCCCAAACTGGCCCTTTCCCTATTTTCTCTGATTAACAATTACTCATCCTTCCTCTCCAGGTCAAATATTTACATTTCAGAGAAGCCTTTTCTAAGCACCTCCCCAGAATAACTAGGTCCTCAATTATTTTTCTCTTTCTGTAATTAACTGCATTCTCTAGGTATTTCTTTTCTTTTTCTCTCTCTAGGTTTTTATAATGCCAATCTCTTTTTTTCTGTCACAGAGATTGTAAATATGTATTTTCACCTTAAATTGGCCTTTTAATCTTTTAGGGATGATTTGATTTATAGACTCTTCGAATATTTTAAATCAATTCTATATACACACACACACACACACACATTTTACAATTAACTGCCGATTTTTAATTCAATGNTGAATATTTTAAATCAAGTCTATTAATATATATATACATTTTACAAGTAACTGCCGATTTTTAATTCAATGTGTTTACTCAATAGCATGTACACACTCGTACACATGCTTTGTATTCCTTTTTAATGGTGCTATTTTTGTTTACCCCTCTTATCTATGCAGTCCACATGCTTTTCCCCTCTCCTTGGAAGAGTCCACATGGAAGGCAGTATCTGAAAGGGGAGCCATAAGGACTGTCACTAATGAGAAGTGCTGCGTGGTGAGCCAAAGAGGTAACAGACCTGTTGTGTTTAGGATGATCAGATTCCATCTTCACTGGCTTGTCCAGTTTAAGGGGGAGTACTGATCAATGACGGCCATGCAAGACAGACTTGTGATGTTCAGAACAGAAGTTCACATTTATCAGGTGTCCATTGTATGCCACATGAAACACACTAGAAAACTACATGCATCATCTCATTTAAACCACACATTAGTCTTACAATGTAGAAAATATGTATGACTCCCATTATAGAGGGGACGTATCTGCAGCTAAGAGAGATTAGAGAACTTTGTCAAGGTCACACACAGGAAGTTGGTGGACCAAAATTCTATTCTAGGAAGTCTCAGTCAAGATCCCATTTTCTGAATCACATCTCTGCCCTGCACTTTGGGAGAGTTATCAAAGGTCATTGGAATAAAAGGAATAGGTTATTAATAATAATAGTAGCTATAATTTTACTGAGATCCTACTGTGCACAAAGGCATTTTTAATACTCACAGAGAAGGTAATAGTAGTAACATTTTTAGAATTAAAATAAGGTAGTTGAGAGTTAAGTTTCACATCAATGGGAAGCATCAATTGAGAATCCAGGAATTAATGTCCGTTATAGAGCTATTTAAATCAAAGAAGTGTGGAGATTACCACAGAAAAGAGGTTCAATGTCTCCAATTATTTTGGAAGGGTCATATCATAGAAGAAATTGGTTAATGTCCATAGCTTAACATAGAATTAGAACCAGTGAGTAAGAGATAAGTAAGATTTCTGATAAATTTAAAACAGGCTAAATAATTACATTTAAAATGAAAGTGGCTGCCATTTGTCTGAGTGAATCACTGTCATTGGAAGGACTAATTGAGGGTGAAGGATGTCCTTACAAGGTGGAATCTAAAGGTGACAATTAGCTCTTGGCAGTTCACTAAACATTGCTTTGGCTTCTCTCTCCAGCAGACACACCAGCTGCATGGAAGCAGGAAACCACACAGAAGTGTCAGACTTTCTGCTCCTGGGTCTCTCAGAGGATCCTCAACTACAGCCCCTCCTCTTTGGAGTGTTCCTGTCCATGTACCTGGTCACCATACTTGGGAACCTTATCATCATCTTGGCCATCAGCTCTGACTCCCACCTCCATACCCCCATGTACTTCTTCCTGTCCAACCTGTCTTTTGTTGACATCTGTTTCACTTCCACCATTATCCCAAAGGTGCTGGTGAACATCCAGAAACAGAGCAAAGCCATCTCCTACACAGGATGCCTCATTCAGGTGTATTTTTTTATGATTTTTGCTGGACTGGATGGTTTNATGGACAACTTCCTCCTGACTGTGATGGCCTATGACCGGTATGTGGCCATCTGCCACCCCCTGCACTACATGGTCATCATGAACCCCCAGCTCTGTGGCTTCCTGGTTCTGTTGTGTTGGTTTGTCATTTTCTGGGTCGTCCTGGTTCATACGCTACTGATGAGGCGGCTGACCTTTTGTGTGGGTACTGAAATTCCACATTTCTTTTGTGAGCTGGCTCAGATTCTTAAGGCGGCCTGCTCTGACACCCTCATCAATGACATCTTCTTATATGTGACTACTGCCCTACTGGGTGTGTTTCCTTTCACTGGAATTCTTTTTTCTTATTGTAATATTGTCTCTTCTTTAATGAGAATGTCCTCTGCAGGGGGAAAATATAAAGCATTTTCCAACTGTGGGTCTCACCTCTCTGTAGTCTCCTTGTTCTATGGGACAAGCCTGGGGGTCTACCTCAGTTCTGCTGTGACCCCTTCATCCATACAAAACTCAGTTGCCTCAGTTATGTACACTGTGGTCACCCCCATGCTGAACCCCTTCATCTACAGCCTGAGGAACAAGGATGTGAAGGGGGCGTTGGGAAGGCTCCTTGGCCAAGGAGCCCCTTGTCTGTGGTGGGTCACTCGCCTCAGAACTAAGTGGACACTGAATTCCCAAAGACCAGTGTTGGGGATTTAAACCTGGTTCTTTTTCTTTTCTGAAACATACTTTATTTCTTCTATTCTAACACTTTTTCTCTTCTCTTTAAATTTTATTTTTCCATCACATTTTACATTCAGTATTATTTTGTATTAGTTTCCAGTGTACAGCATAGGGGTTAGACAATCACACACTGTATAAAGTGTTTCCCCCAATATTTCCAGCAGCCACCTGGCACCACACATAGTTATTACAATATTATTGACTCTATTCCCTGTGCTGTGCTTTCCATCCACTGAGTATTTTGTAACTATAAATGTGTACTTCTCAATCCCTTCACCATTTTTACTCTGTCCCCCAACTTCCTTCTGGCATTTATGTGTTCTGTGTATTTATGTGTCTGTTTCTATATTGTTTATTATTTTTTAAGTTTCTCCTAGTAAATCTGTTTGTCGTCTTCTCTGCTTGCAGCGCCTGAAGCTTCATCTTTCTTACAGCCATTCCTGGGGTTTCCAACATTAAATCTGAAGCACTTATATGAAGTGCTGACATGGTTTCTCCCCAAAATTATCCTCTCAAATGTCGATATGCTTCACCTTAATTTGGTTGTGTGTTTGTTTTCCTTTGGAAGTAATGGAATAAAAATCACACAGTGGTCATAAAAGTGCTTACCATATCAGGACTCTGCTTGTTGCTTGACATCAGCGATTTTCACCTGGTGTGCAACAAGAATTTTTAAAACTTGCAATATTTGACTATTTAGTCAGGGGCACTTTCTCGTTAGATTGTTAAAGAAAAAAATGACAACAGGCAACACAATAGCTGTCTGGTGTAAATGAATCACAACTACATTTTTTTTTTTTTGTCAGATTGGAAAAAAAATTTTTTGTGTGTGTGTAGCAGAACTTTAATCATTAGTTTATGTGCCATGAGATGAAAAAGGTTGACAATTGCTGTTTTACATGTATAGTTTCCTGTGGTCATGACATTTCTTTGAGTGATTTTATCTCATTTACCCCATTTTTCAGAGAGATAGGTTGAGATTGGGATGGACTCTCACCTGACCCTGAACCCACAGTCCTAACTCAGTTAGCATGCCTTTCCTGGAAACAGCGATGAGATTTCCAACTTCAGGAGTAGAAATCCAGATTTGAAAGCTAGTTTGTTCAGGTGATTAATTTCAATACGCTGCACAGGCTAACTCTGAGGTATTGCTCCAGTCTTTGCCCCTTCCCTTCCCTTCCCTTCCCTTCCCTTCCCTTCCCTTCCCTTGTCACTCTCCTTGCTTTATTGGATCTTTAGTTCCCATCATCGCAACTTTAAGATACACCCCAAGATCCTAAAACAGGCACTAATAGATTAAGACTTGTTGTGTTAAGTGCTTTATCTTCAGGGGAGGCTACTCTCTGGAGGTGCCACCAGGAATGGTAGTTACACGTTGTGGAATATATTCAGAATTTAGTCTGCTTTTTGACATGAATGTTGGTAGAACTGAGTCTGCAGTGAAGGGTGGAGTAGCAAAATCTGTCAGCATTGCTCCCATGCCTCTGAGATCCTTTCAGTATCTGCCTTGCATACCAGCCTGACTGCCATGGTCAGCAGCAGGTGGAACTTACTTTTCCCAAAGCATGGTGGCAGAAGTGACAGGGAATCATGCCCTGTCAGGGACAGCTCTTGATGGAGAGATGTGGGGCATCACATTATCCTTCACACCTTAGCTGGGATAATTCTGAAGTTTGGCTCCTGTGCACACACTTTCTAGAATTTCCCTACAGTTTGAAAACTCAGGTTACTCATTGTGGGAACTGACGTGAGGTAAATTTTATCGGATGTATTTACTTCCCTGTATCACATCTCCTCTGTCCAACCCATGTTCCGTGTTTCTTGCTCCTTCCAATAAAGCACTTACACAAGAGTCCTTGGCTCATTGTCTGCTTCTGGGAGAACCAAAACTAACTGATAAAGGCTCTGAAGGGTGGGGCAAAAAAGAAAGAAACCAAGTAGTAGGTGTATAGTAAGATCCTCAAATTACTTAAAAATCACAATGTATTAGTA